ATCCATCGGAGCATGACATTTACCAACAATAAAACCATATACAAAGATCATTCGGCATCAGACTCACGCCTTCCGCCCGCACGGATGTCCTCCTTGCCAACATGTGACCGCCGATCCACCAACATCCGGGGAAACGCGCGAGGTGGTCGTGCTGGGACACCACACAACCCAACTATAAGCCTTCACAAGAAACTGGGCACGAAGCCACAACCTTTAAATGACAACCCCTACGCCGCAGTTACCTAGGCCGGTCATCATGTACCTACAAGCAGACAGACGCGGTGAGAGCCACTTATATTGATTTAATCTGCCTTGGGGACGCCCCGCGACCGCACTACCCGATCGCAAAACGAGGGCTTATGCGCTAACAGCGCGACCAGCAGGAGTCAAAATTGACATAATCCTCGACCACGCACATACCTAAGCTCCTATGCCAAAACAGATCAGACCAATAACCCTGTAGAGTCCAGGTACAACACTGTCTACACCAAAAACCTGACTTGCAGCGGATGCCACATAAACCTCCCCTAATCCATTCATCATAGAGTTTAGGTTGCAATACTTCCTTAACTAATTTGCGCGTATAGATCAAAGACAACGACTGTCTAGTAGTTAAGCGACTAACAACCTTTGACGGGGCCGATAAGCAACGACCTCGGCGAAATCCAGAGTCACGAGGGCTGACCTTCCCATTAAAAGGGCAGACTCACCGTTGAAAAACGTAAAGATATCTTTCTTGTCCGTGTCATACGGTAGGCCTCGAAGCCTAGCAACATGTTCCTTGCGGTTGCGCTCAGGCTGCCAACCCATCGCCCTTTTCATCTCAGCTTCGTCCGAGCGGAACACTACGGAATGCAGTAAATTATCCAGCGTTACCTTCTATGTATCTCCTTCCCATATGCTCATTATGGTGGGCCATTGCCTTTTCGATTTCGTCCTCATTTTCTAGTTCGATAAATGCTTCGCCGTTGGAGCGACCGTTCGGCCCCTGGGGAAAAGATATCCCGCGCTTCCCACCCTTGATCGACACGTCTACGAAATCAAAGTGGCGAAAATACTAACCTTTAAAGAAATTTATCACGTCATCGGCTGTAGCTGAATAAGGCAGACCCCGAATGCGTAAAATCGTGACGGCCATTACCAGACCTGGCGGAAGACGAAAGTGACAGGGAATTCAAACACGGTAAGTCGACTCAAGTCGTTCATGGGAGGAAGTGCTCAATGAGGAAGGGTGAATTTTTATTCAGTCGTCTTGAAAGACAGACGGTAGTTCCGGTTGACTCTTAATTCATGGACCTGGGGTCTATTTCCGCGAACTTTACTGAAACGCCGCACTACTCTAAATGGCATTTATTATGCACTACCACCCACGCTTTTATTTAATCCTGGCTCCCTTTACCATAATTTAATTAGTCCTGCTTCCATCCGTCTACTGCTTCATTTCCATGCCCACCACTAAATGTAGATTTCTGTTATGTGTTGGTGGACAATGAAACTATTTTGTTGTTCAGGATTCTAGAGGTTCGATCACGAACTTGTATACGAGAGTCCAGCAGAACGTCAAAAGTGGAGGTCAACTGCAAAGCAGGAAACAAAACAATACACGACTTCCGGAAAGAGGATAACAGATCTGTTGTGAGTAGAGTTACGCAATGACAGAGTATATAGCAGCTTAAAATACACTTCAGGTCCTAATTACGAAGCAGCTAAACAACTGAGCGAGTCTTTCAAAAGATCCGAGCCGATGACTAACATCACTCTGCCAAATAGTGGCAATTAGAACAGGAAGGAAGGCTAATCAGTGCATAAATTTCTCACGGAAGAATATGTCTGCGTCTACCACTATAGTTACTTTGAGTATCTTGTGACTTTTGACAGTAGTAGCAGGCGCTTATACGTGCATTGTGTCGCCCAGGATAGATTAAAGAATTTCGACTATCTGCATCTGAGGTTCCTAGGCGTGCAAATAAGCCGTCATCTTGGTAATAGACTATTCCCAGAAACCTAGCATCACGAATGAAGTACTGAGACCGCATCGAAGATCAGCACTAAGATTCGGTCGAAGTAAGCTGGTATTACTAGAAATTTCGTACGAGGAGTATTCTGAAAGGTCGTCGAATTATGCTAGTTTCATGGAGGCGTCTGTGGTATTTTGAAGGAATTGCTTTGCCTGTGTGAATATTTCGGTTGCAATTATTTCCAATTCCATGACCATGAACTTAATTCGGATGACTTCTCTCCTGGCGCATTACGAAGACAAAATCACAAATGCTGCTGAATATGACGTTAATGTTCGTACCGGAGCAATTAGTTTAAATGTTTAGTCAAATTGTTGCAGTTTGTGGCAACCAAGCGATAAAAATGCGTACTCGCAGCACCACAATCATCGAGTCAAATCCTATCTTGGAAGGAGAATACGGAAGGCCCCAGAATTAGGGGTTTAATGTACACAGAACGCGGTGTTGACTTCTCAGGCGGCAGTGGCCACTGGCGAAACCAGAGCTGGTGTTGACTGCGTCCAGTCATTCCTGAGATTCCTTGGGACAGTGGTGGCAGCAACTTTCTTTTGCTCGTGGGCCAAGCTCTCGTGGTCTCATATCGGTGTGTGTTGCATTTGCCGAGGGGTGGTGTCCCCGTGGCCTGTTTTGCTGGTTTCAGGGGGTGGCGCATGAGTGGCCCCGATTGTGTGGGGAAACAATTGTGCTCGAGTTGAAGTCGGTCGAGTGGTTTCAGGGCTGCGCGTCTGGAACGACTCGCTGCAAGGGGTGAATGACCTTGAGGTGGCGAGATCTTAAACAGTGACGCAAGACCAGTCATTATGGCTGGCCGTTGCAAGTTTGACTTCTACCTGTGGTTCAGTGCCATTCTATAACTCACAACTTGCATCATCTCGGTCAAATACTCGTCAGTCCCGTCATATTATTATGCACCTGGAGAAAGTTAAAGATCGTCCTCATCACAACTCCTTTTCATTCATCTCCCTCAATCGCCCCTTGGCTTACCACTGAAGAAATCGTTTGCTACTCGACCTGAAGTCTTGGTCAGCATCAACGTTAATGCGCTTTTCACTAATTTGAGTTGAGTTTACGCATTCGGTCCAGAAATAGCCTTTGCCCTACGTCTATTATACAGGACGATCAGGTTGTCCCTTACTCAGCGTGTGCTGTCACCTATGAGGGTGCAGGAGTGGCAGAAGTAAAAATTTCTGGACGTGGTGCTCAAGAAGTCGCTGGACAGCAATGGAGAAGTTAAATGTTTGCTTCACTTCGACCGAAGCGACCACGTTACAGTACTTTTGTAATTGTCTATCCTTTCGATACGCGAAAAACCCACCAGCGTTAGAAATGGCATTTGACGTGGAGAATTCAACCGCATAAATTCCGAGATGTCGAACATGAACTGGGAATCAGATTTCCGCTAACGGAGCCCAGGATTGACAGCAGTTGGGTGAGTTATTGCATATTCTCCTCCAAAAATACTGTCTCATTTCATAAAAGAGGCTGTACAACAGACCTCGGTGACTGATGCACGCTTTTAAAAGGCAAGTGGACAGGAAGCAAAGGCTGTAGAGAATCTTCCTCGCTGATGGGAACCCTGTTTCAATAAATTTATGCAGGATGCAAACAAACCCAGTCGTATGACTTATATTCAGAACATGACAGGAGTTAAAAAACCGATAAACTATGCAGTTGAGAATACAAAGTTATTCTTTGGTCACATGAGAAGAAGCATGTGCAACAGCTACCTATTCCCTTGTTGAGGGCTAGTTAAGACCTGGAAATTAGTAAAGACCGATCAAACTAGAATAATTCCCACTATGTTTATGCCCTTCTTTACAAGGGAGAACGAATTTATTCATTCCGACTGCAGCGGAGCGGAAGGGCCTACGATCCAAGGGTTTATTTTGCCGAAGCGGCTGCTCTTAAGGAGCTGTTGACGCCGAGTGAGAGAATATCATCTGGTCCAGATGACGTTCCACCCTAGAAACTGTGGGAGATCGATGACGAACTAGCCAAACTGCTGTCCATGCTACTTGTAGTCTTGTTCACACAGCAGCCTGCCTCCGATTGAAAATTTGCCCGGACCACAACGCTACAGAAAGGCGGCGGAACTTCTATCTGCTACAAAACTGTGGGAAAAGTAATTAAGCGGAGGCCAATGCATCTCTTGGAGCAGCATAATTTGCTATCCGATGTCAAGCATGGATCCCGTAGAGGCAGGTATCGCATGTCAAACTTGCTCTACCTTTAGGACGTCGGACTCCAGCAGGGAATTTGGGAGTGCCAAGGTGCAATCTGTGTCGACATTAAAAGGGCATGTGATAGTACAGCAGATTTGCGATTCCTGTACAAACTTGGTCGAGCAGTTGTTAGAAGCAATCTCCTGAGGTGGATTCTTAGTTTGATAGCCGGTCATTCTCAAGTTGTCAGCGTCGGTGATCAGCGGTCGGCGGCGGTTGCGGCTGAGTGTATT